TATTTCACTTTAGGAAATGTGAGTTCAGCCCATCATTGTTAATTCAACTGTTAAAAGTTGTTATTCATTAACTATGTGTTTTTTTAAGCTAAGGAAGTTTTATGCACTTAGGCATCATTTAAAAAGAGAAAAAGTATCATTATATTATCATCATATGATAATAAATTTACCAGAGATTTGATCACCGCTAAAGTCTGCAATGATCATATTTCATTTCTACATAGCTTAGAATGTTCTTGTAATGCTGTGATTTTTTTAAAAAAAAGTCATGTAAATTTCTGATTAATTAGAAATGTGCACTACTTAAAATGCAGAATTCTTTGAACTTATGACCCATTGGGGTACTTGATTGAGAAAAGAACTAAATTTAAGAATAAAGTCAGAAAAAAGATAGATCCTGTGAGCAGCTGCCCAGCTACAGATGTGATATTTTATAATACAGGGTGATGACACACAAGCTGCCCTTGGAAATCATATGCTGTAACATCCAGTCAATGTTGCAAGTCCACATGTTTTTAGGGTTACACTATATTGTTGCCAGATTTACATCATAACTTTTATAACACATACTGTTTTGTAGTCCCCAAACTGACAAGAAATTACTTTTAATCCAATTTTGCTTATATTTTTTAAATCTACCAAATCATAAATAATGTTTCTTGCTAATACATTAAAAAGCTCTGTATTTTCCAGTGTAAAACTATAATTAATAGTCTTTGGCAAAATAATAATAACTTTATTGTAGCGTTCTTATTGCATCCCTTGAGTGCCCTAATGTCTATTTTGTTTATAAAACTTGCAATTTATTTTTACAGTATAAACGAATTCATAACATCTTCAAGTCTACATCACAATGTCAGTTTGTGTTATCTGTAGGAAAAATGTTTCATTTCCAAAAGTGATGTTTTCAGAAAGAACATTTTCTGCTTTAAAGGACACAAATACATAGTGTGTTTTCAGTTAGTAAAGTTTTTTCAGATGAAAAAAATTATCTGGTTTCCATATGTACATCACTCAATCCATCTCCTAATTAAAATATTTACATTCAAGTCAAGCCACACAATAATTCTCTGAGTTTTAGGCACATTTAGTTTTAATATAATCCTGGGTTTGACCTAATCAACAGGAGACTCCATTGTTCCAGGATCATAACATTTCCTAATCATTCCAGTTGTGTTCCAGGACAGAGTTAATTTCTTGCAAATAAACATGATTGCACATCTGATTCCTGCCCATTTCATAGGAACATATGCCAAATTAGTTATTTGTTTAGCACTTAGGGAGTTGATTGAATCATTTTTGCTCAGCGTGAAATTGGCACAGCACCTGTGATTGCCCAGCAGGCTCCCCATCATTGAAAGGTGAGTCTAAGTTGAATGAATGAGGCAAGGTGTGAATTTTGGCAGTATCACATTCAGGATGGGGCCATTAAGACAAATGAGTCTATTACTGCACTGTGATTTTAAAAGAAGCTTTTCTGCACTGTTGTCAATGTTTCCAGTTTCTTTAGAACTGTTTCAGAAAGTTACCAATAATGAATTCCTGTATATGTTTGACTATTGATGTTTGTATTCAGGTAGTCTTTGACTTACAACAGTTCATTTAGTGACCATTCAAAGTTAGAACAGCACTGAAAAAAGTGACATGATTTTTTTTTTAATTTTTTTTTAATTTCATTTATATGCCGCCTTTCTCCGGAGACTCAGGGCGGCTTACAATGCGTTAAGCAATAGCCTTCATACTTTTGTATATTTATACAAAGTCAGCTTATTGCCCCCACAATCCGAGTCCTCATTTTACCTACCTTAGAAAGGATGGAAGGTTGAGTCAACCTTGAGCCTGGTGAGATTTGAACTTGCAGTAATTGCAGGCAGCTGATGTTAATAACAGTGCTTTAGTCTGCTGCGCCACCAGGGCTCACATGACCATTGCAGCCCCCCATGGACACCTGGTCAAAATTCAGATGCCTGGCAACTGACGCATATTTATGATGGTTGCAGTGTCCCGGGATCATGAGATCACCTTTTGCCACCTTCTGACAAGCAAAATCAGTGGGGAAGCCAGATTCACTTAACGGTTACTAACTTAACAGCTGCAGTGGTTCAGTTAACAATGGTGGCAAGAAAGGGGAAAGTATGGGGGAAATCAGGAGATTCAGGCAGTTCAAATGAGTAGAAAGATTTACTGCAAGCTTAAGCTGTCTACAAGAATCTGAACTACTAATGGTCAAAGGAAATAAGCAGGAGTTAAAAAGGAATTCAAGGTGGGCTGGGCCTAGATTTCTTGTGGGCATGCAAGGACTCATGACTGATGATACATTTGACCCCTCCCTCGGGCTCAGCCTCGTCATCTACAAAAGGTTGTAAAATGGAGCAAAACTCACTTAACGTTTCTCTTAGTAACAGGAATTTTGGGCTCAATTGTGGTCGTAAGTCAAGGACCACCTGCATACATCTGAAATATAAATAGCATCATAAGCAGATCACTCTGCTGTATCATCTAACAGAAATGAATTCTGGCACATTTCAGTTGCCAGATTGTTTTGTAATATGGGTACAGTTATAGAAAGAATGTAACTTAATCTCATTGAAATAGTTGAATCACAAGATGCTTACAAAAATGCAACAAGGTTTTCCTATGTGTAAATTTATAATATTCAATGATGCTTACTTCAAATAGTTTATAGAATACTGCAGTCATACATCATTAATTTAAAAAGAGGACAAGACCTTATGGGATTCCAAGCATCATGCTCTTTGATGGAAAGAGATAATGTTTTCTAGAGGTCTAACATTTTTTGTTCTGTGACTGGTTCTTCTTTACTATTATATGGTAACCAAGCCATTTGTATTCTTAGCTATAAACATATATAGTGTCCAGGTCCTAGGTGGATTGAAGCCAACTGATGCCCTAAGCATAGGCCATTGTGGTGCCCCTGGGAAAATGAGACTCTCACTTCATGAGAGAGAAATAAATATAGTATTTGATAACAACTTCAAACCTCTCTTTTAAATGTTAATTATTCACCATGCCAAAGAAAATGTTTTCAACAGTGCACACTAAAGTCAAATACAGCAAATAAAGGCAAAACAACCCTGAAGTCAGGTGTGGTAATGAAAGAGTTAATGGTATGATTGGGGAAAAACTGTATGGTACCCCCTAACCTTGCTGCCCCAAGTGTTTATTTCACTTATGGTTAGTGTAGGAATGGCCCAAGTAGAAATTCATTCTGATCTAGGATCATAATGATTTTTTAATGCCTCCTCTCTTCCCAGATCTCTATGGGATTTAACATTCCAACTGACCAGAACATTTCTTCTGAAAATTTCCCAACAAGTAAAATTCAATGGTCAGCATATATTGGCCAAACATTTATTTTGTTGCCAAATTTTACTTAAGGCATACTGATCAAGAAATCTAGAGCTTTGCAGTGTAGTCAGGTTACAGGTAACTTTTCCAGTCTGGTGAGCATCAATTATAGTTTTGGGGAGGTCCGCAGACTCCTTTGTTTGAGTCATGATACAATTCCAGATAACTGCCTTGTGAAGATAAGATGTTGATAGTGAAAGCCTTGCATTCTGTTCTTCAAACAGGATCTCTCACTTGATTATTCTCTCATGGACTGAAATACCTGATTCAAATTTCACCTTCAAATGAACTGACAATCCTAGAAATTCACATACCTTTGTCACAGAAAATATTGGTTTGGATCAGTGGTGAAATCCATTTTTTTTTCTACTGGTTCTGTGGGCGTGGCTTGGTGGGCGTGTTGTGGCTTGGTGTGCATGGCAGAGGAAGGATACTCTAAAATCTCCATTCCCACCCCACTCCAGAGGAAGGATACTTCAAAATCTCCATTCCCATCCCACTCCTGGGGGAAGGATATTGCAAAATCTCTATTCCCACTCCACTCCAGGGGAAGGATATTGCAAAATTTCCATTCCCTCCCCACTCTGGGGCCAACCAGACGTGGTATTTGCCAATTCTCCGAACTGCTCAAAAGTTCCACTACTGGTTCTCCAGAACCTGTCAGAACCTGCTAGATTTCACCCCTGGTTTGGATCATTTTCCTCAATAAATCAACAAGTAGTGTGATATTTTTGACTCATTTGTTTAATTGGGTTTTCTTTGTCTAGTTTTAAGACTTGTGTGGAAAAGAGGTAAGAGTTTTAGTCACATTTATGCAGAAACATTGACAATTCAAAAATTTTTGCTGTCTTTTAAGCAGCAATTAACACTTGGGACTCTTAAGTTTTATTCTCTTGAATAGAAAGTATTGATCCAACTAATTGTAGTTTTGATTGCAAGTACGTGGTATAAACATGTATGGGATCAGAACAACTGCCTCCATTGTCTCCCCATAAAAACAAACAAACAAACAAACAAATCCTTGAAATTTCTCTTAGGGAAATGGGCACCTCAGGTCCCTTAGTGCTACACAATCACCTCGATGTTTCAAAAGAGTTTTGGTTTTGGCATCGTTCGGCAAGGAAACGCCGCCACCTGGAAACGTTCCCATCGGTTGTCACGAAAGAACCGCGAAATCTCCCCTTGGGAGGATAATTCCCGGGGCCTCTAGATTAGCCCGAGGCTCCGCTTACGGTGGGGCAGCAGTGACCGATCGCGCAGAAGCAACTGCCAAACTCGGGATTTGTACAAGCGGCCCAAAAAGGGCCCCGGAGCGGAGAGGAGCGGAGCGAGCGCTGGGCAGGGTAAGGGTTACACGAAGGGATGCGAAGGAGGCGGGAAGGAACGAACCTCTTCGCTTCTCCATCCTTGCCAGTTTCCAGCAGCGGAGCCAGGGCGAGCCATTCTCTCGTGCCGGGGACAGGCAGAGAGCCACGCAGGGAAGCACCGAGGGGAAGGTGCGTGTGTGGGGGGGGGGGGGGGGGGGGGAGGCGGGAGGGGGGAGGGGCGGGGGGGGGGGTGGGGGGTGGGGAGGAGAGCAGGAAGGAGGAGGGGCCGGGGGCGGCCGAGGGGGGCAACAAACAAGTAAATAATAGCGCGGACTGAGCGGGCCTGCTGAGGCAGTCACAGGCGTAGCGACTCCCTCCTTGGCTTCTTGCATTGGGCGACACAGCAGGCGGCGAAGCCTTCAGCCGGCCGGGCTCTGCCGACCGCCTGGCTAAAAGAACTGACTGAACGTCCAGCTCGGAGCTGCGGAGCGACGTGAAGAAGCTTGGGAAGGAGAACGAAAGCGGGGGAAAGCGGACCCCCCGTTCTCCTCCCCCCCACTCCCCGCCTTTCCTCCCCGTGCGGGGGAACGCTCCCTTTCAGGCAGGCGCTCCGCGGGGCAGCCGTCGAGAGGCGATACTGGGGGGCCGCGGCAGAGGGAGCCGCGGCAGAGGGAGCCGTCGAGGCGCGGGCAGAAGTGGCGGAAGGGCGTCCAGAAGGGAGCCCTCGGCTGTGGCGCCGGGCCCGGCGGGGATGGCGGCTACGGGGAGCATCACCACCTTTCCCGACGACGGCGGCGGTGGCGGCGGCAGCGGTGGCCCCTTCCCGCCTGGACACTTTAAGGACCCCAAACGGCTGTACTGTAAAAACGGAGGCTTCTTCCTGAGAATTAACCCCGATGGCCGGGTGGACGGAGTCCGGGAGAAGAGCGACCCGCACAGTGAGTAGCACCTCAGGCTTCCCCTCCCACCGCCTTGCCCGTCCCCAGATTCCTCGGAGGGGGATCGCGCGGACTTCCCCCCCCCCCCAAGATGAAGTCTCTCTCTCTCTCTCTCTCTCTCTCTCTCTCTCAAGATGAAGTTTTCTCTCTCTCTCTAGATCAGTGGTCTCTCTCTAGATGATGTTCTCTCTGTCTCTCTGAAGATGATATTCTTTCTCTCTAGATGATGTTCTCTCTCTCTAGAGAGTTTCTCTCTCTCTCTAGATGATGTTCTCTCTCTCTAAAGTTTCTCTCTCTCTAGATAATATTCTCTCTCTCTCTCTCAAGATGACAAAGTTTTTTTCTCTCTAGATGATGTTCTCTGTCTCTCTGAAGATGATATTCTCTCTCTAGATGATCTCTCTCTCTCTGAAGTTTCTCTCTCTCTAGATGAAGATGAAGTTTCTCTCTCTCTCTCTCTCTCTCTCTCTCTCTCTCTCTCTCTCTCAAGATGAAGATGAAGTTTTCTCTCTCTCTCAAGATGAAGTTTTCTCTCTCTCTCTAGATCAGTGGTTCTCAACCTTCCTAATGCGACCCTTTAATACAGTTCCTCATGTTGTGGTGACCCCCAACCATAAAATTATTCCTAAAACCATTGAAAATAGGTGTTTTCCGATGGTCTTAGGTGACCCCTGTGAAAGGATCGACCCACAGGTTGAGAACCACTGCTCTAGATGATGTTCTCTCTCTCTCTCTCAAGATGAAGTTTCTCTCTCTCTCTCTCTCTCTCTCTCTCTCTCTCTCTCTCTCTCTCTCTCAAGATGACGAAGTTTTTTTCTCTCTCTCTAGATGATGTTCTCTCTGTCTCTCTGAAGATGATATTCTTTCTCTCTAGATGATGTTCTCTCTCTCTAGAGAGTTTCTCTCTCTCTCTAGATGATGTTCTCTCTCTCTAAAGTTTCTCTCTCTCTAGATAATATTCTCTCTCTCTCTCTCAAGATGACAAAGTTTTTTTCTCTCTAGATGATGTTCTCTGTCTCTCTGAAGATGATATTCTCTCTCTAGATGATCTCTCTCTCTCTGAAGTTTCTCTCTCTCTAGATGAAGATGAAGTTTTCTCTCTCTCTCTCAAGATGAAGTTTTTTTCTCTCTCTAGATGTTCTCTCTGAAGATGATGTTCTCTCTCTCTTTCTAGATGATGTTCTCTCTCTCTGAAATTTTTCTCTCTAGATGAAGATGAAGTTTCTCTTTCTCTCTCTCTCTAGATGATGTTCTCTCTCTGAAGTTTTTCTCTCTCTCTAGATGAAGATGAAGTTTCTTTTCTCTCTCTCTAGATGATGTTCTCTCTCTCTCTAGATGATGTTCTCTCTGAAGTTTTTCTCTCTCTCTAGATGAAGATGAAGTTTCTTTTTCTCTCTCTCTAGATGATGTTCTCTCTCTCTCTAGATGATGTTCTCTCTGAAGTTTTTCTCTCTCTCTGTAGATGAAGATGAAGTTCTCTCTCTCTCTCTCTCTCTCTCTCTCTCTCTCTCTCAAGAGAGAGAGAGAGAATGTGTTAATTGAGCGGTGGGAGGATTTGCAAGTCCCTCCCTGTACTCGAGCTTCGGACTAGCTGCCTGTCGTTTCCAAAGTGCTTTTCCAAAAGGCAACTGGACCGCTTTTTCCTTGAGGAAGAAGAACAAAATGTTTTGTTTCTCATCCAAGAAACTTCGTTAGTTGTGATGGGGGGGAGATGGAAGGTTCTGACCCCCATGGCAATGGTGAGGTGGGATTATATTTCTTTGCAGTCCTCTGGTTCCTTAGCACTCTCTGTGACAGTCCGTCCAGTCTCAACTGTCAGTACCTATCCTTCCATCTCCACCGCAATCACAACTGATGAAGTTTCTTGGATGAGAAACAAAACGTTCTTCTTCCTCGAGGAAAAAAAAAAGTCCAGTTGCTTTTTGAAAAGGCACTTTTGAGACAACTATGAAATGGATGACCAAGAATGGATGACCGGATATTTAGCTGTCTGTTGGTAATATTTTCAATTATTTATTTGGTTTTTATCCTGTTGCAATATTTATGTCTCCGAATTTTATCTAAGACTGGTCTGAGCCTTAACAGCCGATCCAAAATCAACTCCTTTCATGGCAAACTATGCCTCCTTGATTAAAAATAAGGCATTGTAAATAAGTATTTAATCACATTTTTAGTATATTTGGGCACAGAAGCTACCGCCTTTTCAGTTTGCTCCTATCTGCAGCACAATCCTTTGTAGGTCTACCCAGGGGTAAGTTTAGGTCTACCCACATTTAGAAGCCAGCAGGATTATAGCCTAAATCAATTTGATCCTTTCCTTTATCCAGGGAGAATTGCCTGTGGGAAATTTAGCTGTTGCATATTTCTGTGTGTGGCTTTATCATTTATTTTATAAATAATAAACTTGTATGCAGTACTGTACAGACTGTGTAAATTCATAAAGAGGTGCAGCTTTTGCCATTCACAAGTATGCCACTTTGTCCAAACAGAATGCAGTGGCTCCCAATGCCTGCTATCGTAGCATCTTCCTCACATTTCCATTTTCATCTGTGCACAATGAGAGTTTATTTATTTATTTATTTTATTAATTCAATTTGTATGCCACCCCTCTCCGAAGACTCAGGGCGGCTCACAATGCATTTAAAATCATTATAAAAAACATTTAAGAATTAAAAACATTAAAAACATTAAAACTCATTCGCACCATTCATGGCCGGATCTTGCTGGATTGCTCTCGCCAGAGCAAGATCAACGGCCCAGGCCTGCCAGAAAAGCCAGGTCTTCACCGCTTTTTGGAAGGCCAATAGGGTGGGGATGGTCTGCACCTCAGGAAGTAACTGGTTCCAGAGAGCTGGGGCAGCCACAGAGAAGGCCCTCCCCCGTGGGCCCGCCAGCCGGCATTGCTTAGCTGATGGGACCCGGAGGAGACCAACTCTGTGGGATCTTACCGGTCGTTGGGTGTTATGCGGTAGAAGGCGGTCTCGAAGATACCCTGGCCCTGAGCCATGTAGGGCTTTAAAGGTAATAACCAACACCTTGAATTGTGACCGGAGACCAATAGGGAGCCAGTGCAGCTCACGGAGAATTGGTGTAATGTGGGTGTACCTAGGTGCACCCACGACAGCTCGCGCGGCTGCGTTCTGGACCAACTGTAGTCTCCGAACATTTTTCAAGGGTAGCCCATGTAGAGCGAGTTTTAATAATCTAACCATGAGGTGACAAGAGCATGAGTACCGTGAGGAGAGCCTCTCGATCCAAGTAGGGTCGCAATTGGTGCACCAGGCGAACCTGTGCAAAGGTCCCCTTACCCACAGCTGTCAGATGTTGCTCTAATCTTAGCTGTGAGTGTAAGAGGACACCTAAATTGCGAACCCATTTTGAGGGGGACAATTTCTCCCCCCCCAGAACCAAGGATGGACAGTCAACATAGTCTTTAGGAGGCAATACCCACAGCCACTCGGTCTTGTCTGAGCCTGTTGACTCCCATCCAGACCCTCACAGCCTCCAGGCACCAGCCCATCACATCCACAGCATCACTGAATTGACGCGGGGTAGAGATATACAGCTGGGTATCATCAGCGTATTGCTGATACCTCACCCCGTATCATCGGATGATCTCACCCAGCGGCTTTATGTAGATGTTAAATAGGAGGGGAGAGAGGACTGAGCCCTGAGGCACCCCACAAACGAGGGGCCTAGGGGTCGACCTCTGTCCTCCTACCAACATCGACTCAGAGAGATAGGAGGAGAATCACCGTAACACGGTGCCTCCCACTCCCAGCTCCCTTAGTTGAGTTTGACATGGTGCTCTAAACAGTAATTAAAGTTCAGTTTTGGTTTAGTGCCTTGTGTAGGGCTACCAGATATATGAACAAACAAAAGAGGACATGAACAATTGGCAAGGAAAACAAATGAGAAAAGAAGGGTACTCTGTTTAACTTTCTGGTCATCTGTGACAACAAGTATAGCCAACCCCCCCCCTTGCAAAAATGAATTCACAAGTATATATGAAATTACTTTTTCCAACATCAGTAAGACTGGTTTTTCCATCACAGTATTTATCCAACAAATCTTTATTTTCAGGAACATTTGCTACAGATAATATAATTGCTGATGACTCATTTTTCAAATTTCACCATAGAAATGTATGATGAGTCATGTGATCTACATACTATAGTGATCATAGATTTGAAGGGGCTGGTGCTGGTTTCTGGAAATAAATATCATATACAGTGTATCACAGAAGTGAGTACACCCCCTCACATTTTGTAAATATTTAAGTATATCTTTTCATGTGACAACACTGAAGAAATGGCACTTGGCTACAATGTAAAGTAGTGAGTATACAGCTTGTATAACAGTATAAATGTGCTGTTTCCTCAAAATAACGCAACACACAGCCATTAATGTCTAAACTGGTGGCAACCCCCCTAAGTGATAATGTCCAAATGGGGCCTAAATAGCCATTTTCCCTCCCTGATGTCATGTGACTCGTTAATGGTACAAGGTCTCAGGTGTGAAGGGGGAGCAGGTGTGTTAAAGTTGGTGTTATCACTCTCATTCTCCCGTACTGGTCACTGGAAGTTCAACATGGCAATGAACTCTGAGGATCTGAAAAACCAAATTGTTGCTCTACATAAAGATGGCCTAGGCTATAAGAAGATTGCCAAGATCCTGAAACTGAACTGCAGCACGGTGGCCAAGACCATACAGCGGTTTAACAGGACAGGTTCCACTCAGAACAGGCCTTACCCTGGTCGAGTTTGGCTTTGGGAAATAGATGTATGAGTGCTGCCCAGCATTGCTGCAGAAGTTGAAGGGGGTGGGGGGGCGTCAGCCTGTCAGTGTTCAGACCATATGCTGCATGCTGCATCAAATTGGTCTGCAGGGCTGCTGTCCCAGAAGGAAGCCTCTTCTAAAGAAAGCCTGCAAGCTGTTTGCTGCAAACAAGCAGACTAAGGACATGGATTTCTGGAACTATGTCTTGTGATCTGATGAGA